GCGAATGGCCACGCCCGCTGGCGCCCGCCAACCTGAAAAGTCCACTGATTCAGTCTATTTAAATGCTTTTTGGGGCAGTGACTGTTTCTTGCTCTCCCTGCACAGCACCTTGCACAGCAGGTCAAGATAAGATCTCTTGATGCTACTGTATCATAAATGATTGATAATAATAGACTAAATTGGAATCCAGTTATTATATGAATTGATGGCTGATGAGGCACTCTCTCTTCTGAGGAGCTTTTTCCACTTCTTGTGCTCTCACATCTAGAGGGCAATATCTTCACTTAGCAGTGGGTGGCAAATGACTACTATTAAAGGGGTTAGTTTTTGCTCTCCAACCATTGCTGCTTTCAAGGTACAGGCAACCCTTAAGAGTTAAGGGAGTTCCACCAATTTCACACTTAGGAGCTAACATCCAAAAGAATCTTAAATGGGTGATATCTTTATTCTTGGGGCAGAATTTATATCAGTTAAAGGGCCAGAAAATAACCTACTTGCGCAATCATTTTTTACAAATGTCAGGTCAAATTTGGTTCTAATGTATTTGTAAGTGTTTGAACTTTTTCTCTCTGATTTATATTCATTTTTGATGAGTGAAGACACTGAATGAGCAAAGACTTCACACTCTAAAAAATCTAGGAACATTATCTGGGTTAATAGGGGCAGTAATTCTGTCAGACAACACACTGCCTTGGGCAGCCCATAAATTTATGGGCACAACAAACATGGCTCTTACCTATTTGTTCAATGAGGGTTTTCCAGGAGTCAGTTGTCATGGGGTGGATCATTTGCAGAGCCTCAGGGAGATCAGGTGGGCACTCTGGGAGTATGGGGCTTTCATCAGGAGTAAGCACCGGCTCTGCCCTGGAAGGGGATTCTCTTTGAGAGAGAAATGTACAGTCAGGCATTGTCAATCAAGCTGCCCTTTGCCCAAGCATTTGATATTCCCAGCTTCCACACTAGGCTCTGACACTTACCAGCAGCATTGGCCAGCAAGACATATGTACCCAGGGTCCCTTAAAAGGGGACAGAGCAGGATGATTTGAGGAAGGGTTGGAGAGCAGCCTCAGGGAATGGAGTCAGAGAGCAACCACAGGGAGGGGACTACTTATGGGGGAACATCAAGAGCAGCGGGGGGGGGGGTTGGAGAACAGCCCCAAGGGGGGGGAAGGAATTTGGGGGGGGCAGAGAGCAGCCCTGGGTGGGGGAGAATATATGGGGGATCAGAGTAGCTTCAAGTTGGGTGAGGGGATTTGAGGGGGGAGGGGTTGGGGAGCAGCCCTGGGTGGGGGAGAATATATGGGGGATCAGAGTAGCTTCAAGTTGGGTGAGGGGATTTGAGGGGGGAGAGGTGAGGGAATGTGAAGGAGGTGGTAGTTGGGGAGCAGCCCCAGGAGGGATGAAGGGAGGAAGGGTTGGGGAGCAGACCCAGGTGGGGAGAGGATATGTGAGGAGAGGGGGGCTGGAGATAAGTCCCCGGTGGGGTGAAGGGAGGCGGGTTGGGGAGCAGCCCAAGGTGGGGTGAAGGGATGGGAGGAAAGGAGATGGGGGGTTGGCGAGCAGCCCCAGGAAGGGAGCAGCCGTTCTGGATGAGCTAGCATCTCAGAGAGCGGTATGACAAACATTTGTCACAACAGGTTTCCATGATCTTCGGCCTTTGCCCACTGATGGTCTAATAATGAGAGTTAGAGATTGGAAGCCAAAACTGAGGGTTTGTTCCCAGCTCTGCTACTCATTCAATATGTGACATTGGGCAAGTCACTTAACTTCTCTTTGCCTTTCTTCATCCCTGTGTAAAATAAATATCAGTAATCACTGTTTGGAAAGTGCTTAGAGGCCCTTGCAAGAAGTTGGTATATAAGTGCAAAGAATTGTTATTTGCTCTGAATCCTGACGAAATTAACTCATGATACAAAGTAGATGTAGAAAGCAGGAAAGAGCAGACTCAGGTAGCCCTTGTTAGAAATAGCAAAAAGCACCGAAGTTTCTTTTTAATAATAATAGTTACAAAATTAATCAAGTAGGAAGGTGCCAAATACCCTTTAACTTAGCACACATTTTTCCCTTAGCTCACTGAGGGTTCGTCTACATAGCGGTGCTATTTCGGGATAACGTCCTTTATCCCAAAATAGTGTTCTGCATGTCTTAACAGCATGCCCATTATTTCAAAATATATTTGAAACAACGGGCTTCTTTGTCGGGCTTCCTGTAAACCTTGTTACATGACGATCAAGGAAAACGCCGAAATAGTGATTTATTTTGTAATTAGCGCTTTGTAGACAGCGCCAAATTTCAAAATAAGCTATGCAATTTGTGTAGTTCAAATTGCGTAGCTTATTTCGAGGTATGTGCTACTATGTAGACATACCCTGAGAGAGGGAATGACAGCTCATCCTTAGTCTCATTTGGGAAGGAATTTTCTCAAATCTGACTGATTTAAAGGAAATTCTTGCTTAACTCTCGGGTTGTAATGCCTCAAATATTTCCAGTTTTATGTTGCCTCTTAGAAAAATGTTATTAACCTTTTAAAATTCCCATTAAGATATCCACAAGTAGAACCTTCCAATCGCTTGTTTAAGAACTACTTCCGCACAATGGTCTATTTATCTTAAGTGTAAGTGTAGCCTAGAATTCCATGCTGATAGGATTTCTCATAACTTTGATATGTATTTGAACACTCATGTCAAGCATATTGATATATTCTTAACAAAAGCAGGCTGGTGGATGGATTTGCAAGTTAAGAGAACCATTTCATACTCACTACCGAATGTTTAGCAATATTGAGGCTATTTTTATATAACTATCATGTGTAACGTTTAACCAGTTAACCAATTAATGGGTTCAGGGAGGGTGCTCCAGCCCAGCTGGGCTGGAGTGCTCCCCTGCCCACCACAGTCAGACTGCTCCCCTTTATTCAGCCCCCCCTCCCCCGACAGGGGCTGCTCCCCACGGAGCTCGAGACCTGCACACACAGAAGACCCTGTAACCCAGAGCACGGGTCCTCCCCTCCTCATACACCCCCACGTGGCCCTTCGTCTGGACCTTCAGTTCGGAGCACAGAGCCCTCTCTCCTGCTTCTTCTGCACCTCACTGCCCAATGAGTGTTTTCAAGGGAAAGGCGGGTGTTCTTGGATTACTCCCGGATTCTGTGTATATGATGCATTTCTTCTACCAAAGGCAAATTCTGAGATGGGGGATAACTTCAGACTCCACAAATTTCCCTCCTCCAATAACCCATTATCTCACAGAACAACTGTATTCCTCCCCATACCATGATTTTGCACTTTCCTCCTTACACTCCCCTCTACGGCCGTGTCCAGACTCAGGGTTTTTTTTCGGGAAAAGTAGCCTTTTCCCGAAAAAACTTCCCCTGCGTCCAGACTCAAGCCGCGTTCTTTCGAAATTATTTCGAAAGAACGCAGCTTTTCTTTCGATGGCAGTAAACCTCAATTTACGAGGAAGAACGCCTTCTTTCGAAAGTTCCTCTTTCGAAAGAAGGCGTTCTTCAATGTAAAGAGGCCGTCTTCGAAAGAGAGCATCCAGACTCGCTGGGTGCTCTCTTTTGAAAAAGCGGATTTCTCTTTCGAAAGATCCGCCTGCAGTCTAGACGCGATCTTTTGAAAGAGGCTCTTTCGCAAGATGCTTTCGAAAGAGCCTCTTTCGAAAGAAGCCTGCAGTCTAGACATAGCCTACCTAAGAACTGTCAGTTCTGCTCCGACAATAAAGATCAATATTTTTAGCACTCGACAATCTGTCTTCATTCTTTAATTTTTATGCTATAATCCCATCTTGCTGATCAGTCTGAAATTTTGTAGACAGCCTGGGTGCCACTCTTCGCTACAACTTGCTAACTCCTAGCCCTCCCCCAAAATTAATTTGATAATTAAATTTCCCAGACAAACCTTAACTCCCCCCTTGAATATATAAATAAGGCTTTTTCAATATAATTTAGGCAATAACAATATGTGAATCTCAAGCTATAGATAAAAAGCACATATTTTTCTGTATTATTTGCCAAATAATGCCTCAGGATAATTTGTCCCAAATTCTTCCAGTTACATTGGTATAATTCCAGAGAAACACAACTCATTTCTGTAGATACCATCTGGGTTTACAGTGGTTGCCACACATGTCCCTGGTAGAGCTCCTCTTGGCTGGAATCTCTGTCTCTTTGCTGCTAGGCTATGGACTCAATACACGAGATCCATGTGCTTGGAAGCTCCCCTTGGATAGAATAGGTTGTAGTAGTCTCTCTGCCCTTGACATGGTTAGCACATTTCCCAATCAGAGCCAGGCTGTTACCCCTTTATGGAAATGGGATCTCATAGCCTAGTTGCCCTCTGCCTCCAGAACCAACGGTGACCCGCTCCCAGACTCCCCAGTAGCTTAAGCATATCCTTTCCCATAGTGCCACCTGTAGTCATTCTAGGTTTATAATTTAACTCTTGAGGAGCATGTGACTGGTGAAGCAAATAAACACACGGATTGTAGAAAGGTTTCCAAACACAATTATCCTTTACCTAGATACTGCAAGAGAGATAAAGATGTAGGCAAACAATAAAACACCTGCATCATGCATTTCCCTACCTCCGTTCCTCACCAGTCTTGAGCATTCTTTGTTCTTAGGCCAGAGTCCAGGATGCTCCCTTCCTGCACACAGTTTCTCTTAACTATGGAATGTCTCTCTCACCTGTGCTCCAGATTCCTTCTTTCTGGCTGGTCCCTCAATTAAACAAGCCCACACTGCTATGAACGCAACAAGCATGCTTCTCTCCTGTCCTAACTTTCTCCGTGTCTTAGCAGGGCGTCACCCTGACTCACCCAGGCTCAGTAGTTTCAAAGGCTAGCTCAACACTTTGCTTCTTTGTCCTCCTGCTTGGGAGAAATTTTCCACCAAGCAAATGCTAGCCCGGCAGGCCAATATGGTTGAATTGGTTTCCAATCTTCCCTCAGGCAACCCTTCTTAGCATAGACATTTGGAAAGAGCACAGCAATTAAGGCTAACAGTTCTCCTTTGTCCCTGGTCTGGGGGACTGCACAACACAGACCTGATTTACTCCACATCCACGATACAGTAATTTCATAATACCAATCAGAAGAACTCATACATTGTACATAGACGGATTTCCTAAATCATCACAACCAGTGTTACTGAAGAATTTGGCCTTTTGTGGTGGAGTGCTGGGAGAGGTTAACAGCTACTAGTGGTCACAGAGGGTTTTGGCAACTCAAAATGGGAATCATCATGGGGTAATCATTGCATTTGACAGCTGACAGGGAAAGTCAGGAGCTTGTCAAAGGGAGGTTTGAGAATTGCAAGCGGGGGGGGGGGGGGGAATCTATCTTTTGTCACTGTTGTGGATTTGATGGAGTGAGGAGAGTCTGAGATCAGGATTGGAGGTCAGGAGTCTGTCACCAGTTAGAGGAGCAATATGCTAGGAAAGCTGGCTGGTCCAGCATCCACTAGTCACAGAGAAGGTAGGACTAAAGGCTTGGAAATGGGGTAAAGTGGTCAAGAATATTGGTTACAATGAGGCCAGTTTATATGATCAGTGGATAGTGACTGAAAGCTGAGCATTTGTCCCTAAAGTAAGAGGGCTAACAGTTGTGGGAGGGCAAAGAACTGCTATTTACAGGGAGGGCAATTACTTGAACGAGCATGACAGAGTTAAAAGCTGCCTATTTTTCACTCCTGCTGTGGATCAGGGCCAAGAATGAGGTAGTTCTTCTTAAACACTTATTTATCAATGGCTGCCAGAGCAGGGAATTGCATAAACTTTACCAACTTAGCTAAAATGAACACAATTCTAAGTATGATTTTCATGGGCATCTCACAAGAAACTAATGCATGTTCAAAGGTTAATTAATTCAATTTTAAT